ATGAGTGAAATTGTCCTTCTCAAGCGGAAAAAGTACTAAAAGCACTTGGCCCAGCCTGACATCAGTGACCATTTTTGACACACAAATGTCAAGGATCTACAGCATGATTGCACTGTGATCCCTTCTGATCTCTGGGGTGTGATGTTTAGACTTAAGATTTTTAAAGTTGCCATGAAAAAGTCTTTAAAATTCAAATGTGAAAAAAAAATAAGATTCAAATATGAAGCAAGCTCAAGAAGGTCAAGAATGATCTGCCTCCATTCAACAATTTGGTAAGCTGGTGACAGAGGCTCAACAGCTCAGTGCTAGAACTCGGGCTCGAACAGAGCCCTCTTTGCCTCCAAAATCTGACTCTTTCCAGTACAAACTGTAGGCACAACTTCCCAGACTCGGTGGTATAAAGTGAAAGTAGAGTGGCCAGTGTTTCCTGAAAAAGTCTTTTGTTGTACTGCCTTCTCTCCTCTGGAACTCTCTATTCTTTTGGGGCTAAAACCACTTAAAAAGAAGTTGTTCTTTGTGATTTGACTAATGCTAATTCTTTTTTTTTTTTTAATACCAAGAATCAAACTCAGGACCTTGAATTTACCAGGCAGGCACAGTGCCACTGAGCTAAATCCCCAGCCCTAACTAACCCTAATTCTGACCCACCTAGACCTATGAGATAGGAATGGGCACATGACCATGTCCTGCCCAACAGGACAGCCTGTCTGCCTCATCTCAGTGATTGGATCAGAGAAATCATGAGCACTTGCTTCTAATTGAGTCAACTAGAGTCCTCCTAAAATCTCTTTGCAGACTTATAGGAGAAAATTATCTCTCCCTTGAAGTTGTTAAACTAAATCTTGGACTTTCAGAGCTCTCCATATAGGGAAACTATAAAGCAGGGGAAATGGGGACCTTGAAGATGTCATTTGAGCACCTTGATCCAGCCATACCTGAAGCCAAAATTTTCCCAGATTTTGTTGTTGTTGTTGTTGTTTGTTTGTTTATTCTAGTGCTAGGAATTGAACCCAGAGCCTTCCACATTCGGGGCAAGCAGTCTACCACTGAGCTGGTTCCACAGCTGTTTCTTCCACTCTTTTTTGTTTCCTTTATTGATTTTTTGTTTGTTTGTTTGAGATAGGGGCTCCCTATGTAGTTCAGGCTGGCCTTGAACTCAATATATAGCCTAGGCTCGCCTCCAACTCACAGCAATCCTCCTGCTTCAGCTTCTGTAGTACTGGGATTACAGGTGGGCATCACTTCACCTGCTGTTTTGCTTTTTTTTTTTTTTTTTTT